GCATATACTTCTATTGTGCACAACTTAAAGTCAAAATTGTTTTTATATTAACTTTTAAAACATACATATATATGTATTTAAAAAAAAAAAGAAAGTTTTTTTGAAAATTTGTCGTAAATTAATGTTATACCCAAAAAAAATACTTGATTATGCCCATATACATGTATGTAGTTATATGTTATATAGGTCAGGGTATGACAAGATCGTATAGTGTTTCCATGTTTTTATAAAACCTACGAACGTAATATTTTACATATATGTAAATTGTAAATGATACACGTAATGTATAATTATTTGAAACATCACTGACAATATACCGTTATTTAATGAATTTTTATAGAAACGATGACAAAAATTTCGGGAATAAAGAATACAGAAAAAACAAACAATTTTTCATCGAAAACCGTAAATTTTCAAAATTTACAATTTATTTGACAAATAGTTGACATTTCATTATGTATCGTTTTTCGATTATAATATTTTGCTTTGCAAATTTTCAAATTCTCTAATACCTAATTAAACAAATTGCCGATTACTTACATACTTTATTCAATTCCTGTATTTACTTACATATATTCACTTATATAATCTATATAAATTGATATACTAAATAAAATACTAAAATTTTTGTGATTAAGTATGTAAATAAATATAGGCCTAAACTTGAAAAAAAAATCTAAATATGGAAATGACATTAATTATTAGTTTAAATTATACATTCATTTTATTGAATTAAAATTTTTTTAGAGATTTCATACTATATTTGATATGAAAGGAATTTTTTTTTATTTAATTTAATTTTAATATATTTATCAGGTACAACATACCTTACATCCAAATAGCAATAATATTGTATTGCTACGCAATTCTATTTGAAGTGTTGATTAATGTATTGTGTAATAATGCAGTGTAATTGCTAATTCGGATGTCAGGGTATATATCTCAAAATTTAGTGTATTTTCTCTTCGATATGTAGAAGATAGATAATGTGCTAGGTACTTTTATTATGATGTTATGTAAATGACAAATATATACATATATAATATTGGCAAACAAAGTTTAGAATAAAATTACATCCGTTACTGTATGATTTGACGTAAATTTAATGTCAAACACTTAAACAATTCGTTTACTAAATATGCTAAAAGATGGCACTTTCAAATTGTAGTTAGGAATAGTTAGGAATTCTCAATTTTAGCATATGCATAATATGCTTGGGTTGTACGAATTTTTTTATATAAGTGCGCATAAATATGAAAATGTAAAATTATCAATATTTTTGTTTTATAACAAAATTCATTAAATTATTTTATATATAAATAAAATTGTTGCTTTTTCATATTATTTATTTTCAATATTAAATGTTACATTGTTGATTATTTGTGACTTACCTTATATACTTGTACATGTAATTAAAATGTTAAAATGTCAACCACTTTTAAGTGTAAATTAATTATAATGTATGTATAATGTATGTATAAAAATAGATGTATTATAAGATATAGTATATATATTTGCATTTACGAAATGTTTTGTTTCTATGACGTCATTAAATTATTTATATTATATGTGTAAACATTGAAGCTCAGTTATTAAATGTTGTGTACTTGTTGAAAAATAAATGCTTCGCTTTGTTTTAAAAATATTTAATAAAATAATTAAGGGTATAAATTTAGAATTAAAATTAATTTTAGCTCGATAATTTCATTCGAAATCGAAAAGTTTATTTGTTTTAAAATGACAAATCAAATTCAAGTACAATTTACTAATATTTACCAAGATTTCATAAAAGTATTCATTTAAAATTTAAATTTACAAATAATATTTTTTTATAATTTGAAAAATTTATAAAATTGTGCTAAATTTGGCATTTTAAAAGACAAATTTTTCAAAATTCTCTCATATATCAAAGTATAGTAAAATTTTATTAATAAAAATGACAACTTGTTTATCGGCACTACTGTCGTTTGTTTTCGAATTAAGGTCTTCAAAATTACAGTAACACGATAGTAATGTACATTTTATCTTGTGCGTGTCAAATACTAAATTGTGTATTAATACCGCATTACTGTAATTTTTACGATATTACGGGATTATTATAATCACATTAGTGCATTTTTTGGAATTATTATTAAGATATTTTCACAAGTCGTACAAAATTGAATTTTGTCGTATGCTTTAGACACTAAATCTAAGTTATTATTAAAATTTTTAGTTGCAAATATTTGCACACATTTTTTTTCCTTTTGGTTATTTTCTAACTTAATTTCAAATATATATATATATATATATTTCTCAAAAGTTCAAAGTGTCATAAATTTACTATTTACATTTTAAATTCAAATCATTCTTTAATAAAAATTTTATTATTTTTTTTTTTTTTAATTTTAGTTGTAAACCTCAACAATATTTCCTACTTTAAAATTATTACATAGAATTTTATTATGAGTTACGTAATTAAAATATACATACAGAAAGAAAATTTAATAATTAAATATTCAGCTCGTATTTTTGAAATTAAAATAAAATATTGATTTATATGTAGTATATGTGTAGGTAAAATAAATAAATAATAGTAGAATTGTAAATATATTTTTGGAAAATTTCAATTAGGTGTAGGTACAATTGAATATGGTTTGAAAATATTGATTTACATTTATTTTAAGGTTAGAATAGTTCAGATTTTTTGTTTATTACAAGTCCTGTAACACCGGATATGTTCCGAATATTCGGAATATTTAACAAAGTTCTTATAAATTTCCAAATAAAAAAAAGTACTTTAATTGAATGCTAATTATATTTTATTCTCGTAATGAAATTTATTTAAATATTTTCATGTAAATAATTAACAAAGTAATCAGTGTCAATAAAATACTCAATAATTAAGTAATTAATAAATATATACTTAAAATACTTTAATTTTAAGGAAATTAAATTGAAAATAATAAAATAATTTATTTAGAAGTTTTATATTAAAAAATTTATTAATTTTAAATTGTAAATATATCCAATATGTCGCAACAAATTTCATTTTAAAAAAAAAGTACAGTAGTCGTAATTGTTACAAGTACAAGAATTACAAAAACTGTTATATTAAAATTACAAACGAAATTAATTCATTTAATTTTCATTTTCTAATAATAATTTATTATTTTTCATTTTTAACAAAAATTTAAAATATTTTTATTAATAATATTAAAAATTTGATTAGAATTATTCTATAGAAAATTCCATAACAAATTAAATGTACTCATAAATGTACTTGTTTGTTATATTGATTACAAATTACTTATTAAAAAATCATTTCAGATTAAATAAATCGTAAAATGGGTGAAATTTTATTTAAAAAATAATTTTAATTTTTAATTCCGAAAATTTAAAATTTAATATAAAGAAAAAACTAAATTTGGCAAACAAAAAAAAAAAATACTAAATTTTTAATAATGTTTTATTCAAACAAAAATCATCTTTATAGAAAACGGTGAGTTTTGTATTGTCTTGTTAAAAATCGCTTTCCTTTTAAGATTTTGGAAAATTTAAAAAAATGCTAATTTAAAAAACTAATTCAAAGCTATGCTTTTTTTTTTATAAAATTAAATATCTAATAAAAATTATACTAAAAACAAATTATACAATGTAAATATTTTGAAATTATGAAGAGTATTTATTTTTCTATCAAAAATATTTTAAACGATTCGCAATATTCTTGTAAGAAATTTGAAATTAATATTAACATTTAATCTTCAAATGCTAATTTTTATGCTATAGCTTTTTATTAATATATTTTTTGTATAACAGATTTATAATATACTAATCAATTAATACGGAATAAAATTATTGAAAATTTTTTAAAATATTTTAATTACTATATACTAACATCACTTGGTTTCAAGTCACTATTCAACATAAATTGAACAATAATGTTATATTTGCCCGTTTCGATAATTCGATATTCTATTTTTACATTAAATAAACAAAAATTGTATAGTTTATAATAATTACAACAAATAAAATCATACACCCACAATAATCTGCCTCTGACGTCAAAATTTCAATAATATTATATTTTAAAGTAATTCAGCTTATAAATTATGATTGCTGAATTGAAGGAATTCCGATATCATAAAAAATATTATACAAATAATAATAATATTGAAATAATATCTATGTATGTACATGAAATTAACTGAAAAAGTGATATTGTTATACGTTTAATCTGGATTTTATTAAACTTTGCGCTCAATATTATTTTTTCTAATTGTTATATTCAATATATTAATCGAAATATACTAAATATTAGTATCAGTATAACAATATAACAGTATAACAATTTTTTGTATAACAGTTTCTTTATAATTATAAAAATAGAAATTCAATTAGGTTGCAGATTTTTATCTTTATGTTTATAATAAAAAACAATATTGTTTAGAATTTTTTGTAGTTTCTCTTTTTTTAAATTCTTACATAAGTGTTATATTTACTACATAAATGGTACATTAAATATAAAAATTGATTCCTTGAGTTCAATAGAATGCAAATAATATAGATTTTAAATTAAATTAAATTCGGTTTAGACATCAATTTTGGAATTCACCTTAAACAAACAATTCTGAATTGGACTTGGAAACCGTATTATCTGCAATTGTGGAACTCAAGGTTTCAATTGTCAAAAAAAAATAACATTTTCCTTTCTATACCTACATTATATTTTGTGTTATCCTTGAATAAACTGCCAAATGTCCTGATAATTTTCTATTGTCCTGATAATTATAGTTGTTTTTCTTGTTTTTTTTTTTGTGTATGCTTTAGTGTTTGTGCAAAATTTCAGTATTACGTTTTTTATTAAAAAAAAAAAACAAAAAACAGTATTAAAAAACCAAAATACATAAATTTTAAAAATTATTAAATAAATTAAAAAAAAAAAAACAATAAATTTTATGGTCTATGTTTGATTGTTTCCTTTCATCGATTTTCTCGAATATGATTAAACGACGTGCTAGTAAGTGTTTTGTATTACCAGAGAGTGGTAATGATGGAAGCGGAAATGTTATTAATCGAAGTAATTCAATTAATAATGAAAATGATAATGGAACAATAACGGCAACACCAACAACAACAAATAATACATACGAAAATGATAAAGAATCATTTTTAAAACAAAATGATTTACAATTAAATAATATTAATGATGTATTAAATTTAAATAGTAATACATTTATTGATAATAATGATGATTTACAAATTCAACAATTACAACAATTTCAACAACAACAACAAATAAATAATAATAATTACAATGATAATTGTAATAATGGTAATGAAATTCAACAATCAACAATTATTATAAATGGCGGTGTCGATGATATCGATGGTGATGATGATAAACCAATTGAAATGAAAGCGAAAAAATCATCAACAACAACAGCTGAAGTTAATAATAAATTATTAAGAATACCACAAAATGAAGGGAGTCTTAAGTAAATTTAAATTTATAATATTTATTTCTTTTTTTTTCTTTTTTTTTGTCATTATAGTAATTTTAAATTTCAATTTCAAAAAATCAAATTAGATTGTTGTTTTTTTAAAAAGTCTAAAATTATAAATTTTATTTGGAAAAAAATTTGTTAAAAACAACAATCAAACATTTTTTCACGCTTACAGAGTGATTATTTTTGTTGTACAAATATGGTAGTTATAAGAAAAAAAATAATTTTTGCACATTTTAATATAAGTATATGTAAATGTCATAAAGCTTGAATCGTTGCATTGTCGTGCCACAAGCTGCTATGAACACAAAAAATTTTGTTTTTATACGTAAATAGTTTACAGCTTTTGTAACGCTACTTTAGAACTTATAGTCTTCAAAAATTTCTCTATTAAATATTGTTGAATTTTTTCATTCTTATTTTCTAATTAAAAATAATATTCTGTCAAAATTTAAACTTTACCGTATATGCGATCATTTTACGTCAAAATCATGGATTTGATAGACAACTCTTAATTAAAAAATAAGACACAAAAGTTTTACATTTCCATTGTTTGCACTTAATTTGAAGGTGTGAATAACACTATGAAAATATAACCTTTCGAAATTTACAAAGGAAAACTAATTGAAAGGATTAATTATTATTAGTTATGCAAATTTATTTCGATAGATGGCTTTATTTTTTTTTTTTTTTTAATAATATGAAAAATAAATGTCAAATTTTCAATATTTAAATTTTTACTCCTACTTATATGACCAAATTTTTATACAACATAATGTTCCGTTTTCGTATCACACAAGTGGCATTTGTTCTATATACAAACGAACTGCTCCGGAGTATTTCAGAGTGTTATATGCCCCGTGTGAAGAAGTGTATTCAGAATGTGAAGCGTTTCTAACTTATGTGGAAACGTAATTCCTTGCCGGATAACGAAAATTGCGTGTCAAATATTATCAACATAATTTTTTTTAAGTGTCATTATCTAAAATATCGAAATGTCGTAAATATTAATATATTAAATGGAATCAATTTTTATCGTTCAATATTAATTTGATAGTACATAATTCAGATAGTTTAATTTCTGATTTTTATTGTAATCTTATCATTGTTAATATTTTGTCAACTTCACATTTTATAAGAGAATTGTAAAATTTATAAACACAAACAGTTCCTCACTTGAAATAATGTTATTTCCCCCTCCAATTTATAATGATATCCTGCCCCCATGTGAACCAATCACAATTAAAAAATTGAGAATGGAGGAGCACTTTTATTTTTAATATTATACCGTTAAGATAACACATATTAATAAATATTATTTACAAATTACATATTTGATTTTTTTTTCTAAGCAAATTTATGATTCACACAATTCACTTAATAATTTAATATTAAAATAATAAGAAGAACGTGGGAAATGGTTTAAAAAAAAAATATTTTTTTTAATTAATTTTACAATTAGGTTATTTTACGATATTAATTTTACCTAATTTTAAGCAATTATTTATTCCAACCAGTTTAAGGAACATTGTACAAAATCTTAAATTCACATATTATTCACATTTAAACTATTTAATCATCAACAAGACAGAAGAAAACACATTTATTTTTTTTTACAAATAATTTCATCCATTAATTGCCTTTAATTAAAAAATTTTTAATCAAATATTAAAATATTTATTTTTCTTTTTTTATTTCTTTTTTATAATAATTATAGGCCTAGTATGTCCCGTGGTACGGGACTTGGGCAAGATCGATATCAAGAACGTGATTTTATAATTGCAACACCAGAGGAATTTGTTAAAAAATTTGGCGGTACACGTGTTATTAATAAAGTTTTAATTGCAAACAATGGTATTGCGGCTGTAAAATGTATGAGATCTATAAGAAGATGGTCATATGAGATGTTTAAAAATGAACGTGCTGTTCGTTTTGTTGTAATGGTAAATTGAAAATTGAACAATAGTTATTATTTTCTTAATATTAAAAATTAAAATGAAATTATTTTAAAATAAAAATTGAAACAAAAATTTTTAGGTTACGCCGGAAGATTTAAATGCAAATGCAGAATACATTAAAATGGCAGATCATTATGTACCAGTTCCAGGTGGATCAAATAATAATAATTATGCAAATGTTGAATTAATTGTTGATATAGCTGTTAGAAAACAAGTTCAGGTATGAAATTAGAAAAATTACATAATTATGAAATATTTAATTGTTAAATAATTTTTTTAATTCTAATTTTTTAGGCTGTTTGGGCTGGTTGGGGTCATGCATCTGAAAATCCTAAATTACCAGAACTTTTACATAAAGAAGGTATTGTTTTCTTGGGACCACCAGAACGTGCTATGTGGGCACTTGGTGATAAAGTAGCATCATCAATAGTTGCACAAACTGCTGAAATTCCAACACTTCCATGGTCTGGATCTGAATTAAAAGCACAGTATAGTGGTAAAAAAATAAAAATTTCAAGTGAACTTTTTGGTCGCGGTTGTGTTACATCAGTTGAACAAGGTTTAAATGCAGCAAATAAAATTGGTTATCCGGTAATGATAAAAGCATCTGAAGGTGGTGGTGGTAAAGGTATCCGTCGTGTAGATATGGCTGATGAATTTCCTGGTCTTTTTCGTCAAGTACAAGCTGAAGTTCCTGGTTCACCAATATTTGTTATGAAATTGGCACGTGGTGCTAGGCATTTAGAAGTACAGCTTTTAGCTGATCAATATGGGAATGCAATTAGTTTATTTGGTCGTGATTGTTCAATACAACGTCGTCATCAAAAAATTATTGAAGAGGCACCAGCTATTGTTGCACAACCAGAAGTTTTTGAAGATATGGAAAAGGCTGCAGTTCGTTTAGCTAAAATGGTTGGTTATGTAAGTGCTGGCACTGTTGAATATTTATATGATTCGGAAGGAAAGTATTTCTTCTTGGAATTAAATCCACGTTTACAAGTGGAGCATCCTTGTACAGAAATGGTTGCTGATGTTAATTTACCAGCATGTCAGTTACAAATTGGTATGGGTATTCCTTTATATCGAATAAAAGATATTAGATTATTATATGGAGAATCTCCTTGGGGTTCATCAGTAATTGATTTTGAAAATCCACCTAATAAACCAAGACCATGGGGTCATGTAATTGCAGCACGTATTACATCTGAAAATCCTGATGAAGGTTTTAAACCTAGTTCTGGAACAGTGCAGGAATTAAACTTCCGTTCAAGTAAGAATGTATGGGGGTATTTTAGCGTTGCTGCATCTGGTGGCTTACATGAATTCGCTGATTCACAATTTGGTCATTGTTTCTCTTGGGGCGAAAATCGTCAACAGGCTCGTGAAAATTTGGTTATTGCTTTAAAAGAATTATCAATTCGTGGTGACTTTAGGACTACTGTTGAATATTTGATTACTTTGTTGGAAACTAACCGATTTTTAGAAAATAGTATTGATACAGCTTGGTTGGACGCATTGATTGCTGAACGAGTTCAATCAGAAAAACCCGATATTTTATTGGGTGTTGTTTGTGGGGCACTTCATATTGCAGATCGTCAAATTTCAGATGCATTCACAAGTTTTCAAACATCTATGGAAAAAGGCCAAATTCAAGCTGCAAATACTTTAACTAATGTCATTGATGTGGAACTCATTAACAATGGAATAAGATACAAAGTACAAGCGGCAAAAAGTGGACCAAACACATACTTTTTAGTTATGAATAATTCATTTAAAGAACTTGAGGTTCATCGACTTTCCGATGGTGGCATGCTTTTGTCAATGGAAGGAGCAAGTTATACAACTTATATGAAAGAAGAGGTCGATCGTTATCGTATTGTTATTGGAAATCAAACATGCGTATTTGAAAAGGAAAATGATCCATCGCTTCTTTTAAGTCCATCAGCTGGAAAATTAATAAATTTACTAGTTGAAGATGGAGCCCATGTTAACAAAGGTCAACCTTATGCCGAAATTGAAGTCATGAAAATGGTAATGACACTAACATCGCAAGAGGCAGGTACCGTTTCATTCGTAAGACGTCCAGGTGCAGTTCTGGATCCTGGCGCACTTCTTGGTCATTTAGAGCTTGATGATCCTTCATTAGTAACAAAGGCGCAACCCTATAAAAAGCCGTTCCCACCTAGCGAAAATCCTCCAATTCCGGAAAAATTGAATCGAGTTCACAATTCGTATAAAACCATATTAGAGAATACTCTTGGTGGTTATTGCTTACCAGATCCATACAACGCACCAAGATTACGCGAAATCATCGAAAAATTTATGCAAAGTTTACGTGATCCATCCCTACCTTTATTAGAACTTCAGGAAATAATTGCTTCAATATCCGGTAGAATACCTTTATCTGTTGAAAAGAAAATTAGAAAATTAATGACACTTTACGAAAGGAATATAACAAGTGTTTTGGCGCAATTTCCATCCCAACAAATAGCTAGTGTAATTGATTCACATGCAGCTACTCTACAAAAACGGGCTGACCGTGACGTATTCTTCTTAACAACTCAGAGTATTGTACAGTTAGTTCAACGATATCGCAATGGTATAAGAGGTCGCATGAAGGCTGCAGTACACGAACTTTTAAGACAATACTATGATGTTGAATCACAATTCCAACATGGTCATTACGACAAGTGCGTTGCTGCTATTCGAGAAAAACATAAAGATGATATGAAAAACGTAGTAAATACAATTTTTTCACATAGTCAAGTTTCCAAAAAAAATTTGTTAGTCACGTTGCTAATAGACCATTTATGGGCAAATGAACCGGGTTTAACTGACGAGCTTGCAGCTACATTGAGTGAACTTACTTCTTTGAATAGGGCCGAACATTCAAGAGTAGCACTAAGAGCTCGGCAAGTTTTAATTGCAGCTCACCAACCGGCTTACGAACTGAGACATAATCAAATGGAGTCCATCTTCTTGTCTGCTGTGGATATGTACGGCCATGATTTTCATCCTGAAAATCTACAGCGATTAATTCTTTCTGAAACATCGATATTTGATATATTGCACGATTTCTTTTATCACAGTAATCGAGCTGTATGTAATGCAGCGCTTGAAGTTTATGTGAGACGTGCTTACACATCATATGAATTAACTTGCTTACAACATTTGGAATTGTCAGGTGAAGTGCCTTTAGTTCATTTCCAATTCGTTTTGCCTACCGCTCACCCAAACAGGTAAAGTTCTTCATAAAGCTTTCAAATAAGTTGTTGCTTAAAACTATCATTGCAGACTGTTCTTTAAACTACCTCAGGATGGAGCTGAAGAAACTATTGTTACAAGTAGCTTTATGCGTACTGGTTGCATGGCGGCATTTGAATCTTTTGATCATTTTGAACAATACTCTGATGAAATTTTGGATTTATTAGAAGATTTTGCGTCTCCAGCTTTTGTTAACACTAAAGTACTACTGCTTATATAATCATGAATTAGAGAAAGCCCTTTAAAATTGCGCTTTTTTCAAATTTAGGTTCTTGAAGCAGTTGAAGCAGCTGATTCAATGTCAGATGGAAGACTCAGCACTTCAATCAATGTTTCACTATCTGATCCAGTTTCTCGGGCAAACGCAGCAGAAGAAGCAAAATCAACTGAACCAATTCATATATTAAGCGTAGCTGTTAGGGACACTGGAGAAATGGACGATTTACAAATGGCTAATAAATTTGGCGCTTTCTGCTTACAACATAGGGAAGAATTAGCTAGCAGACGTGTTCGCAGAATAACCTTTGCAGCTTTAAAAAAGTAAATTTGAAAGTATAAATTTTTTAAAAAATCTTACTTTACAATTTTTTTTAGACGGCAATTCCCCAAATTTTTCACATTTCGCGCAAGAGATAATTACACTGAAGATCGTATCTATCGCCATTTAGAGCCTGCTTGCGCATTCCAGTTAGAACTTAATAGAATGCGAACATATAATTTAGAGGCTTTACCCACAGCTAATCAAAAGATGCATTTGTATTTAGGCAAAGCTAAAGTAGCCAAAGGACAAGAAGTAACTGATTACAGATTTTTCATACGGTCGATCATTCGGCATTCAGATTTAATTACAAAAGAAGCCTCGTTTGAATACTTACAAAATGAAGGAGAACGTGTCCTTTTAGAAGCAATGGATGAATTGGAAGTCGCTTTTTCGCACCCAGAAGCAAAGCGAACTGATTGCAATCACATATTTTTGAACTTTGTTCCCACCGTTATAATGGATCCAGCAAAAATTGAAGAATCCGTTACGAAGATGGTTATGAGATACGGTCCCAGATTATGGAAGTTGCGTGTCCTTCAAGCCGAGTTAAAGATGTTAATAAGACAATCACCCCAATCTCCCACACAAGCAATCCGTTTATGTATAGCCAATGATTCGGGTTATTTTTTAGATATTGCAATGTATACTGAAGTAACAGATAAAGAAAGCGGAGTAATTAAGTTTATGGCATATGGCGAAAAACATGGACCACTTCATAACCATCCAATTTCCACACCATATGTTACAAAAGATTATTTGCAACAAAAAAGATTCCAAGCCCAATCAAATGGTACCACATACGTTTATGATATTCCTGATATGTTTAGGCAAATGACAGAGCGTCATTGGAAAGAATTTTCAAAAGCAAGACCGTCTGTTGATATTAGAATACCAGAAAAAATTTTATTAGAATGTGTAGAACTTGTTCTAGATGGAGACACCTTACAAGAAATGCAACGTTTGCCTGGCGAAAACAATATTGGTATGGTGGCTTGGAGAATCATTTTATCAACTCCAGAATATCCGAATGGTAGAGAAATTATTGTTATTGCGAATGACTTAACTTTCTTCATTGGCTCGTTCGGTATTCAAGAAGACATTTTATTTAGTAAAGCTTCAGAATTAGCTAGAGAACGTAAAGTACCCAGAATATACATATCAGCTAATAGTGGGGCTCGCATGGGTCTTGCCGAAGAATTAAAATCTATGTTTAAAGTTGCATGGGAAGATCCCGAGGAACCAGATAAGGGCTTTAAATATCTTTATTTGACAGCAGAAGACTATAGTAATGTCGCTCATTTGAATTCTGTTAGAACTATTCTTATAGAAGACGAAGGTGAAGAGCGTTATAAAATCACTGATATTATTGGAAAAGATGATGGATTAGGTGTTGAAAACTTAAGGTATGCCGGCTTAATTGCTGGAGAAACTTCCAGAGCGTATGATGAAGTGGTAACAATTTCTATGGTATCGTGTCGTACTATTGGTATCGGATCATATTTGGTGCGTTTAGGTCAGAGAGTAATTCAAATTGATAATTCTCATATAATTTTAACCGGTTATGCAGCTTTAAATAAGGTCATTAATACTTTTTGACAAGTTTTATTTCAACTAAATAAATATATATTTTTAGTTATTGGGACGAAAAGTTTATGCATCAAATAACCAATTAGGAGGCGTTCAAATCATGTACAATAATGGTGTTTCTCATAAGACTGAAGCTGCAGATTTGGACGGTGTTTATACAATTTTGCAGTGGTTATCATACATTCCAAGTTATGGCGGCTGTGATCTCCCAATAGTTATACCAAATGATCCAATAAATCGCCCGATTGGCTTTATTCCAACAAAATCTCCATATGATCCAAGGTGGATGTTAGCGGGTCGTCCTAATCCAGGCAAGAAATAAAAAATAAAGTTTTCCAAAAATAAAACTAATAAAAATAATAAATATTTAGTTAATTCCGGTGAATGGGAAAGTGGATTTTTCGATCGGGGCAGTTGGAATGAAATTATGGAGCCTTGGGCTCAAACTGTAGTTACTGGTAGAGCTAGACTTGGAGGCATTCCTGTAGGTGTTATCGCAGTAGAAACTCGCACAGTTGAAGTAACAATGCCTGCCGATCCAGCTAATCTAGATTCTGAAGCTAAAGTAAATTCAAATAATTTCATGAAACTTGTAAAAAAATTTTATATTTCCTATTTTTATTAGACATTACAACAAGCTGGTCAAGTATGGTATCCCGATTCATCATACAAAACCGCCCAAGCAATCAAAGACTTTGACCGAGAAGGGTTGCCCTTAGTTGTGTTTGCTAATTGGAGAGGTTTTTCTGGTGGACAAAAAGATATGTATGAACAAATAGTTAAATTTGGGGCATACATTGTTGATGGTTTAAGAGAATATAAGCAGCCCATAATTATCTACTTACCACCAAATGCAGAATTGAGAGGTGGTGCTTGGGCTGTATTGGATCCTCTAATAAATCCGCGGTATATCGAGACATGCGCAGATCCAGAAGCAAGAGCCGGTGTTTTAGAACCAGAGGGAACAGTCGAAATCAAATATAAAGAAAAAGATTTAGTTAAAACAATCAATAGGCTGGATCCGGTAGTTGTTAGTGTACGTATGCAATTATATTACAACAAACCGCCTAAATATTGATGCTCTTTGCATATATTTTACAAATTACATGAATAAATATTAAAATTGTTTTTAGCAATTGCTTATTTTTATGTTGTTTTTCAGTTAAGAAAAGACCTGGAAGCAGCTGGCACCGATAAAATAAAATGTACTGAAATTGAAGAAAAAATAAAAAGCAGAACAAATTCTCTTCTTCATGTTTACCATACTGTAGCTGTTCATTTTGCTGATTTACATGACACACCCGAAAGAATGCTTGAAAAAAGTTGTATTAGTGAAATAGTTCCATGGCGAACTTCGAGAGAATCTTTATATTGGAGATTGAGAAGAAATATTCTTGAAGATTCTTATATTAAAAAATTGTTAAAAGCACAAAATAATTTATCTGTTGGTCAAGCTAAATCAATGTTAAGAAGATGGTTTGTCGAAGATAAAGGAACCGAGAATGTAAGTTTTTTAAAGTAAAAAAAAAGAAAACATAACAAAATATTAATAATTTTTTATATTTTAAGGCCTATTTATGGGATAAAAATAATGAAATGGTTACATGGTATGTTGAACAAAATGGATCCGATTCTACTATCTCAGCTAATATTAATGCAGTTAAACAAGATGCCGTCATATCTCAAATTCACAACATGTTACAAGTAATTTTTTTTTTTTTCTGAATAGTGAAATTTTTATATTACTATAAAAAATTTATTTTATAGGAATGTCCTGAAGTAGCTTTAGATGCAGTGGTAGGACTTTGTCAATCACTCTCACCAGTAAATCGTAGTGTTGTCGTACAAACTTTATCTAGACTAGAACTTGAAAAAAATGAATCAAATATTCAGGGATGATTAAAATGGAATCATTTTTAAAATAATTTAGTTCTTTTTTTATTTTTTTTTTTTTTATAAATACACTTATAAAATTAGCAAGGAATAATTTAAAAACATTTCTACAAGTTTAAGACTTTATTAATTTGCTATGGTACAGAACAAAACGTAAATTAGTTATTTTTTAAGAAGTTTCTAACCGTTAAAAGAAGAGTATTTGTTTTTGAAAATACAAAAAAAAATTGAAAAAAAAAAATATTATGTCGAACTTTTTAAAAAAGTTATAAAAATAATAAAATACAAAAATATTTAAATAATTTCATTGTAAGAATTATGGAAAAATCAAAAAAATCACTGCTGTTATTATTTTTAATAAAATATGTATATATTTATATATATATTTATGTTTTAGATAATTAAACACATAATAAAAATATGTTTAAAATAAAACCTGAATTTTAGTTAATTTTAGAAAGTTTCCTGTTTAATAATTATTTAAAAATTTAATAAGTAACAAAGAGTTTTTTCATATGAGAAAAGGGAAAATTGAAAAATTTTACTCCAAATTAATATTATCTTAAATTAACAAAATAATTTTTGAATTCAACAAAGTAATTTGCCCTTAAACTGATTCTAGACTTAATTGCATGGTTATAAAGTAGTTGAAGTAATAATTCTAAGCTTGACTGCTAATATTTAAGAATTCAATATTTTAAAATTCAAAACGAATTTAGATTTTCCTTATACTCTATATCAATATACTAGAGATTTTCTGTTATTTAGCACATTACTATAAATCTTTTACAATATTATATTTTAAATTTAATAATTAAAGTTTAAATTTGCCGTTTTGGTATTCGGCAACAATAACACAAGCAACTTGTTATATAAAATAACAAAAAATCATTTAAAATCTTTGAATTACAATTTTTTCTCATATTATAACTAAATTTCAGGTGGTGAATGTAAAATTAATATTAGACATTTTTTTTCTTATTTGTTTAATCCTGGTTCCTTTGTTACCCTTTTTTTTTTCAAAATTTGCATTATGTATACATAGTATTTAGAAATTTATAAAAATATTAATTATTTTATATATGTAAATTTATTGTAATATATATTATTATGTATATGTATGTATAATAATTGTAAATTTTTTTTTGATTATTGAATAAACTTATGTTAAAATAAAATTTTTAAAAAGATATAATTAATAATCTTTTATAAAATGTAATTTATAATTTTGATTAACAAAATAAGTTACAACCACAAGTGTAAGTTTTTTTGATGACTTTTACTGGTAGCCGATTTAAGTCAGTCGCTGTAGATTATAGATTTGTACAACGGGGGCAACAGTGCACCGCGACTACGTATAAGGATCTATTTTGCGCCCCAATCCGAGTGCGGGGCATGCCCTACAACACACGCTCGAGACCCACCCTCCTGATGAACTCAAGCAACTTGTGAGGCCGTAACTCCGCCACCGTTAGAGCAAAAGCCCAGCACTTCCCTCCCCCTATGAGCAAGACCATCACACTCCTCCAGGAGGTGCATCGAGGTCTCACCGTACTCCCCACAGAAACTGCAAGTATTCTCACTTTCCAGGCCCAACCGACTGAGGTGTCCCCTAAACCTGCAGTGACCCGTCAAAATACAGGTGAGGACTCTCATCTGGTTCTTGCCCATCCCTATAAATTTCTTAAATCCTTCAGTCACCTTATTTTTTGGAAATTCTATATGGGATAATTGTTAAAATCCCATTGGGAAAATTATTTATTCATAAGAAATACATATGCATTAAATATAATTAATTAAATTTTATTATTTAAATCATTAAAAATAAACATTAATTAATAGTACATTATTAAAATTAAATACAGTTACACAGTCATTGATTTCAGATCTTTTAAAATGATTAGATTTAAAATTTTTGGTAGTTTTACATTTTTATTTATTTTTCCCCATTCTCTTTTTGCTCTTCTGCTTCTTTTTCATCATTTTTATTTTCTTTAATGTTAAGATGAGCCGGACCAGTTTGTTGAATTTGTACAATTCTCACATTATTATCTTCTAGTTTAGATGGTGTTGGAGCTTTAATAGTTAATACTCCATCTGAAGATAATGTTGATGTTACTAAATTAGCATCGTATCCAGTTGGTAATTTATATTTCCGAACAAAATGTCGTGAAATAAAACCATGTTCATCTTGCCTTTCCTCATGTTTAGCTTCTACCACAACAAAATTATCAATAGTTTTAACACATATTTCACTTGGCTTAAATTGTTGTACATCCATATGAACTTGAAATCCATCTTTACCTACAGCACTAGTCTGAAGTGATTCTGCTTTATTTCTTGGTGACAAAATACCTTTGTCATTCAATAAAACAGATGGAATAGAAGATAGTAAATGAATTTCAGATGGAGAAATATTTAAACCAAATTGATTCCATGGTGAAGCTTGACGTCGACGTGGACAATGTTGTTTAAGTTCCCACGGATCTAAATGTGGATATCCAAATGATTCTGCATACAATAATGGTAGAATTGACATTTTTATAGTTCTTTTTTTATTTCAATGATTAAATTTCCTTTTTTAATTTTAGTCTTTTAGCGAGATATCTTCTCTCTTTAAAATTTATTCTAAATATGACTCTATTTTTCAAAGCAGCTCTGTTTATATAGTTTAAAAATTTGAGGTTGTGTTTAATTGGATTATATTAGGACTCTTCTAGAAAATTTGAGAACTAGCACACAATCTATGCATTTTTCTTTTTAACAGAAAAATATTAATTTTCGATAACAGAAACAATTTTACAAAAACATACATTTTACGTAAAATGAAATTCTTTTAATCTGTTAAATTTACTTCTGTTATGATTTAAGACATTCTGTTATATTACAGACTTGCATTTGGATCTATGATGGATATCCTGGATCTCCTATACTTAGTCCTAACAGATGTGGCAAAATAACAGTAACAGAGTTCATCCAGTTCATTCATTGAGTAATGATTTACATAACATTCAACATTGCAAAGCTCACGACCTTTTTCTAACATAAAGCCATTTTCATACAAAAAAATTATCAAAAGTTGTTTTGCCTTGATCACTTTCCCATTCTCTCATCTTTTGTTCTTTCTTCTCATTAAAATTAGAAAACGGAATTGTTGTTGCTATTGGTTCTAATTTATTATTTATAACCATTTGAATAAAACAGAGATAAAGAAAAATATTGCAAATAAAAAACTCAAAATGTGATATCGTGGTTCGTGAGATCATAATTCATAGAGATATGTATACATTTTTTTCTCTTTCATAATGAAATGAGTGATAATAATATATTTCATATTTTATGTAATTGTATGTACATATTAATATTAATATAATTGGACATTTCATATTTAATTACACAAAATTAATTACATAAACAAACAAACATTAACATTATCTTATTTTCCCTTTATGTGTGAGTTGGAAATATTTTAATTCATGTAAGGAAGAGCTAAAGAAACTAAAATTGCAAGTATATAAAAGTGAGTGAACTAAATATTAATATTTATTTTAGAACATCTTTGATTCAATTTTATCAGGTCCAAACTACCTATCTATCTATCTGGTGTTTACTTAACATTCTAAGGCGCATAATTAATACCTTACCTCATCTTATTCAAATAAGTATATACTTTTTCTGCTCTAATAATACATATACCAAAAATAAGATTTTACGTCAACTTTACTTCTTTACTTACTCATAATGCATACATCTACAAAATATGTCCTTTCATTTCAGAAACTTGTACTCGTATTATTTTATTTAGTATGTATCTACATAATGCGTACAGATTTTTAATAAGTTTTCAAGAAACTAAGTAACTCCACTCAACTCTATTTTCAAACGAGTCATAGATATTCGTTTTATTTTTGATATGAACAAAAAATCAAAAAGGAAAGTTGACGTAAAATCTTATTTTTGGTATATGTATTATTAGAGCAGAAAAAGTATATACTTATTTGAATAAGATGAGGTAAGGTATTAATTATGCGCCTTAGAATGTTAAGTAAACACCAGATAGATAGATAGGTAGTTTGGACCTGATAAAATTGAATCAAAGATGTTCTAAAATAAATATTAATATTTAGTTCACTCACTTTTATATACTTGCAATTTTAGTTTCTTTAGCTCTTCCTTACATGAATTAAAATATTTCCAACTCACACATAAAGGGAAAATAAGATAATGTTAATGTTTGTTTGTTTATGTAATTAATTTTGTGTAATTAAATATGAAATGTCCAATTATATTAATATTAATATGTACATACAATTACATAAAATATGAAATATATTATTATCACTCATTTCATTATGAAAGAGAAAAAAATGTATACATATCTCTATGAATTATGATCTCACGAACCACGATATCACATTTTGAGTTTTTTATTTGCAATATTTTTCTTTATCTCTGTTTTATTCAAATGGTTATAAATAATAAATTAGAACCAATAGCAACAACAATTCCGTTTTCTAATTTTAATGAGAAGAAAGAACAAAAGATGAGAGAATGGGAAAGTGATCAAGGCAAAACAACTTTTGATAATTTTTTTGTATGAAAATGGCTTTATGTTAGAAAAAGGTCGTGAGCTTTGCAATGTTGAATGTTATGTAAATCATTACTCAATGAATGAACTGGATGAACTCTGTTACTGTTATTTTGCCACATCTGTTAGGACTAAGTATAGGAGATCCAATTTTTGCTAATGTGAAATCTGTTAGTGGTAGTGCTGTTATTTCGAATTATTACAGATTAAATTTTGTTTATATTAAATTGTTGTAATGCTAATTTTGTAATGCACTTTTGATTTCAACTATACTTACATATTTTAATAAATCTAGAACAGAGTAAGGATAAAATACCAAAAATGTAATGGTGTTTATTATAAGAACACAGAAATTATTTTCTGTGTATTTAGTGGACAGAAAATTTTTATATTTTTCGACATTATTTTCATCCGTTATAGAATCTAGATTCTAGAAAATTCAAAAATATTCCAGAAAAGTAAAATACGAGTGGCAATTTTGAGCCTGAAAATTTTAAAATTGGACTTGTTCTATGAAGGATCTATCAACTATTTTGCTGTATGGATGTCTATACGTATGAACACGTGTGAAAGCCTGGAAATTTAATTTGTATAACATCTATTTTATGTTAGAGGAAACCGGGATATAAAAACCAAATTTCATAGCATAAAAATACTTTTAACTAACTAGAGAGTAGCTTTTAAGTAACTTACTTTTCTAATACTTTCAATTACGTTAACTAGAGAATGCGAAATTCGCTGAAAATTGGAATGAACTACGTGATTACAGCAAAGCCAAAGGAGTTGAGTTCACTGGAGTTTTACTTGAGTCCCATTTTGCGGCTAGCACCATCTTGATACATTGCTAATAGTGTTCGCAAACAAAATCAATGAAGTTTGGACTTCGTACGAAATAGGTATGCATGTGGCGAGTTCAGATAGTTTTACTTGCTTTTGTAAGACTTTTAGTTGATAGTACTGGGTTTTATTTCGAAGTACGTTTTGTAAGGAAAAGTTTACTATAAAAAGAACGTATAGTGAACTTATTAAAATCTTTTGGAAATTAAAGGTGAGCTAAGAAAACTTATGTAACTCTCGTAGGTAATGCAAAACTAAAACAATACTTGAAGTTTATGCATACAATGCCAATGTTGAGTATTTACAATGTTTACATACAATGAATTTGGAATTAATGAATTAAAACTGCTGCACAAGCAAAGTCACCCATAATTTTGCTCATACAAAGTTAAAATACGGTCATCTCATGTACAAATAAATTTATGGAATAGTTGTAAAAAGGCGCTTTATTGTCCCCCACTAGATTTTAAGCTAAGGGTGTCCAAAACTCAAAAGACTTTCTATTTTTAAAATAAATACCAGTGAACATTTGTTTTTTTAATTAAAATTTATTTTTAAACACATACTTCTAATTTCTACAATAACTTAATATGCTAAAATTATAAATTATAAACATTTTAACAATTATAGGAAGTTTAATTAATTTAATACATATTTTCTAACTAAATTTTTACAGTCTTTTAAAAATTTATCTAATAACAAAATCATTGTCTAATTTAATACAATTTAGTTATTCAATAAATTAACGGAATAGTAAAGTTAAGCGCATTGTTAAATTAGTCTACTTCTTCTACTGTTGGTCCTGATCTTGAACCTCCAAAACCACCTGCTTGCGTACCACAACCGCCTGCTTGCGTCTGTGAACTACCTTGATGCAATTTTGTCATGATTGGACTACAAACTTTACTAAGTTCTTTCATTTTATCCTCATATTCTTCTTTTTCAGCTAAAGTGTTATTATCCAACCACTTGACTGTTTCATCACACCATTGCATTACTTGGTCTTTATCTGATTTCGTTAATTTATCTCCAGCTTGTTCAACTGCTTGTTTAACACTAAATACATATCCTTCTAAACTATTGCGGGCAGTAATTTTTTGACGTTGCTTCTCATCTTCTTCTTGATATCGTTCGGCTTCTGAAACCATTCTGTCTATTTCTGCTTGAGATAATCGTCCTTTATCATTCTTGATTGTAATATTTTTCTCTTTACCAGTACTCATTTCTTTAGCAGAAACAGTTAATATACCATTTGCATCCATATCAAATGTTACATCAATTTTTGGTACCCCTCTTGGTGCTGGTGGTATACCAGATAAATCAAAGTTTCCTAGCAAATTGTTGTCTTTTGTCATTGCTCTTTCTCCTTCAAATACTTGAATGCTAACTCCGGGTTGGTTATCTGAGTATGTAGAGAAAGTTTGTGTTTGTTTGCATGGAATTCTTGTGTTTCTTTCGATTATTTTTGTCATTACTCCACCAGCTGTTTCAATACCAAGAGAAAGTGGTGCAACATCTACTAAAAGTACATCTTGTATTTTGGAATCTTTACTGCCTGTTAGAATGGCTGCTTGGATTGCTGCTCCATAAGCAACAGCTTCATCAGGATTAATTGATAAATTTAATGATTTGCCATTGAAGAATTGTTGTAAAAGATTTTGAACTTTTGGAATTCGGGTTGATCCTCCAACCAACACAATATCGTGAATTTGACCTTTATCCATTTTTGCATCATTTAATGCCTTCTCAACTGGATGTAATGTTGATCTGAATAAATCTGCACAAAGTTCTTCAAATCTTGCACGAGATATTTTCGTGTAGAAATCAACACCTTCAAACAGAGCATCAATTTCTATTGAAGCTTCAGTGCTTGATGAAAGAGTTCGTTTTGCTCGTTCAGCGGCGGTTCTCAAACGACGCAAGGCTCTTGGATTTGAACGGAGATCTTTCTTATATTTTCTCTTAAATTCTTCTGCGAAATGGTTGACCAATCTATTATCAAAATCTTCTCCACCTAAATGTGTATCTCCAGCCGTAGCTCTTACTTCAAATAAAGATCCTTCATCAATTGTTAAAATTGAGACATCAAATGTTCCACCACCCAAATCAAAGATTAACACATTTTTTTCACCAGATAAATTTTTATCTAATCCATACGCTAAAGCGGCAGCTGTTGGCTCATTAATTATTCTGAGAACATTTAAGCCC